GGGGGGGGTGGGGGGCTTTCAGAAATCAGATTCTGGGAGTCCAGCATCCAGGATGCTTTTTAGATTACACAGTCCCTCCCCATCTCTACTAGGACTGAGCAGAGGGAGAAGCTGACCTGCACTTGGGACCCGCGAACAGCTTTCTCTGCTAAGCCCACCGAGAACCCAGGAGCTGACATTACTTGGTGAAGAGTTATCCTTGGCTCTGCTTCTGATCCAGCTTCCTGCTAATGCACACCCAAGGTGGCAGCCAGTGGTGCTGGCCCAAGAGCCTGGGTCCCTACCATCCATGTGGGAGACCTGGAAGAAGTTCCAGGCTCTTTGCTCTTTCTGTCTCGGTCTCTCTCTACCTTTCAAATAAATAAATAAATATTTTTAGAAAAGAGCTTTTCTGTTTTGGTCCAAAATGGCCAGGCTTCTATGTGTCTGTCTTCATCAGTCGCTTAAAGAGTATGAGCTTGGGAGAGGCTCTTCTCTACAACTGCAGTAACCTCTCAGGGGACTGACAGCAGAAAGCTCTCTGCTCATAGCTGGGAAACAAGTTCCCCCTTTAAAGGGAATCTGGGTGCTTCATCTGTGTGTCTATCACTTAGGGCCTCTTGATACTTCTGTGGCCTTATCTCTCACCTGCTCAGCTCCTTGCTGTATCTTTTTTCTTGCTACACCACAGTGCTGGGCTCCCCTTGTCACTTCTTGAGCATGTCAAGCATGTTCCTATCTCAAGCTCTTTTCCATTGCTGTTCCTTTATCCCATCTGTTCCTTCCTTAGGTAACAAGTGACTCATACCTTCCCCTCCTCACACTTATGCTAAAATGTCCCCCTAATTTTGATGACTTTTTTATCTTAAATAGTGACCTGTCCTAACATCCTCGCATGTCATTTTCTTTAATTTGCTTTACTTCTTTTTCTTTTTTTTTTAACTTTTATTTAATGAATATAAATTTCCAAAGTACGGCTTATGGATTACAATGGCTTCCCCCCCATATCGTCTCTCCCACTTGCATCCCTCCCCTTTCCCACTCCCTCTCCCCTTCCATTCACATGAGGATTCATTTTCAATTCTCTTTATATACAGAAGATCAGTTTAGCATACATTAAGTAAAGATTTCAACAGTTTGCTCCCACACAAACATAAAGTGAAAAATAATAGATGATTTTTTAAATGATGATGAAATCAGATCAGACCTATTGTCATGTTTAATCCCAGTGAGAGTCAAGTTGGGAATTGATAATTTCTTCTTTTTTTTTTTTTAACAGAAGATCAGTTTAGTATACATTAAGTAAAGATTTCAACAGTTTGCACCCCCAAAGAAACACAAAGCAAAATATACTGTTTGAGTACTCGTTATAGCATTAAGTCTCAATGTACAGCACATTAAGGACAGAGATCCTACATGAGGAGTAAGTGCACAGTGACTCCTGTTGTTGACTTTACAAATTGACACTCCTGTTTATGGCATCAGTAATCTCCCTATGCACCAGTCATGAGTTTCCAAGGCTATGGAAGCCTTTTGAGTTCACCGACTCTTATCTTGTTTCGACAAGGTCATATTCAAAGTGGAGGTTCTCTCCTCCCTTCAGAGAAAGTGCTTTACTTCTTTTTCTAACAGTCATCACCTCTTAACATATTTGTTTGTTGACTTTTTGTTGTTCATTCATGGTCTCGCCTATACTCTGTTGTCCATTTGTGCATCCTCTGTGCCCAGGATAATATGTGAGCAAGCACATGGC